TATGAGTAAAAGAAGTGAAGAAATTAAGTGCTGTAGTTTTGTTTAATCTTTCTAGATAGTAAGACTCTGCTTTGAGAATTTGTGGAATCTGGAATAATTTTCGTTTCCTTGGGAGTTCACATTTGCAAATTTGAGCATGTTGTTTTGGTGTCTTCCTGAATCACTACTTGCCTGATTCAAAGGGCACAAGTAAATTGCTTTCTCTGGTGTGTTATTAAGCTGTACACTGAACACGTCTTGCAGCCTGCATGGGCAGCTTCTGTGCTATTCCTTTGTATAGCCCCTGCTCTTTCATGCTCTTTGCTTTTGAAAATTAGTTGCTGAATCAGCTTTCAAATTGTTATAAAAACCTAAACCTTTTCAGATCAACGAATCTTAGGTATATAAGTAACTTAAGATATACTTAAGGTATATAAGTAACTTTCCTTCCAACACCTGAAGGGAACCTACAGGAAGGCCAGAGAGGGACTTTTTACAGAAGTGTCCACCGATAGGACAAGGGGAAATGGATTTAAGCTACAGGAAAACAGATTTAGATTGGATCTTAAGAAAAAAATCTTCAGTATGAGGGTGGCAAGACTCTGGAATAAATTATCCAGGGAAGCTGTGGATGTCCCCTCACTGGAGGTGTTCAGGCCAGGCTGGATGAGGCCTTGAGTCACCTGGTCTAGTTGAGAGGTGTCCCTGCCCATGGCAGGGGGATTGGATTAGATGATCTCAAAGGTCCCTTCCAGCCTAGGCCATTCTGTGATTCTGTGAAAATCCTTAGCAATTAGAATTTGGGAACAGATCCTCTAGTTCAGTAGCCTGAATTTCTAGGTGGTAACTGTTGTGAAACATATTTAGATTCTCTGAGTTATGAAACAGAGGGATCAAAAGATAATAGATGGATGTGGGCAAAATGGGTTTGAAATAATATTAAGCATTCTTTGTTTCAATAAAATGCAAACTTTGTTTGGTTTCCTGGATTACAGTCATAAGGTTGTATGTTTTACAGCAGATGAGAAGTTTTCTTATGGGGAACAGATTTTGTCAAAAAATGCTGATGTGATTTGGTCAAAATCCCCTGTGGGGATCCCGTTGAAACTCCTGACGGAATTGAAGAACCCTCTCTGACTCCTGCCTGCCCCGCTGGCACTGCCAGCTCCTGGCAGGCAGCCTGGGGGTGCTCGGCGGGTCGGGGGGCTCCTGCTCCCCAGCCTCCCTCCAGTGGGAAACTCCTACTTCAAAAGGAGCCTGTCTATTAGCTAGAGAAAAAAAATTGGTTTGATTTTTTTTTTTCTTAATATCACTCATTTCCCAAATCATTTTCTTGGAGCAAGATTTTTCTTAAACATGGCCATGATTTGGATGTGAGGAGATGGAAAAAGAAGGGGGGGAAAGATTGATTTTAGAGGGAATGCTTTGCAGGGTGTGATTTCTGCTTTATGCAGGCACTGCTAGGGACTGCAGGAGGGGGCTGAAGGGCTACATGCACAGATGGTGATAGACCGTGCTGTACCAGTCCAGGAAAATGATTAATCAATACTTACAGAGATTTATTCTAGCATTTAGTTTTTAATTTAGCCTTCTGTTTCTCTGCTCAGGAGTTCTTGTAAGAGAATGTTCTAATGTGATGCTGATTCAGGATCCTGTTTTTTTAAAAGTAATCAAAACAGTTCTCTAACTGTTTTTTAGCTGTATCTTGTTGCAAATGGCAGTGAAGAGAACAAATGTTCTAACCATGTTTCTAATTGCAGGTTGCATAAATATGGATTGGATTTTAATGAAGGGGACTTGGGAAAGTAATACTGGGGAATAGCGCAAATGATAAGTGAACAAGATGTTTAATGCACATTTTTCATAGTCCTATTGCACTTACATTGCTGTAGACAACTTTCACTCTGATACTTCCCAAGTTTTGAGTTTGTCTTTCTGACTATTGATGCAACTTCATAAATCTTGTTTTCAGCAAAATTAAAAATAAGAAAAAAAATATTAGAAATCAGCTGAAGTGGCATTATTCACACTTGCGTAACTGGTTAATAGGTTTGGAACTTTTTGTTTCCTGATGCAGACCTTTGCTTCATGAGATACTGGAGGATGTTGTGGCCCTTTATGGAGGATCACTACTGGAGGAAGGAAATGTCTTCTACTGAGCACAAGGCTCCTTCCCTTTTTTTCTTCATGTCTTTTTAAATGTTATTCAGATTTCCACTGCTTGGCTTTTCCTCTTTGTACTGCTCTGTTCCCTCACCTGGGTCTAGATTTTACCATCCTGGTTTCGTTTAATACTGCCTTGGAGTTTTCTGTCTAAGAAAACTATGCTCAGTTCTATGCTCAGTTCTAATGCTTCTCTTAAGCCGCCCCTTTCCCCTGGTGCTGTGTCCAAAATGAGACATGTGAGAGGTTGAAGCACACCAGAAATCCTCAGATATTTTAGTCAAATTCTTAATTTACTCTGTAATTGTAGATATATATGTTGGAGACAGGGAGAACTTGTCATTCTGCACTGAGGGGTCAGACACGTTCTTTTAGGGATCCTTGGCAGAATGATGATGTCACTAAGTCATAGTTACAATTAAAGCTTTATTTTCTTAACAGGATATTATAATTAGCATGGCAAAGGGATTTTAACAAGCAGAGTCAATACTGTACAGTTTGTAAGTAGCATAATACAGAATTTATAATGCACCTTAAATTATTTCTAATCACCTAGACCCTCTGCAGATCAGAAGATCTTCAATACATGGTTTGGTGTATCAATATAAAAATCATAACCTAGAGTCGAAATTCATGTGAAAGAACATGAGTCACTTCCTTAGTCCTTGGAGGAGGTGGAGGATGGTAGAGGTATCTCTGGCCACTGGCAGGTCTCGAGTCTCACTGTGAAGTAGCAGCTCTGGTCCAAGTTCACCCCTTAGGACTTTGTATTTACTTGGTTTTCTAGATGGTGCTCTGGGTGCTGTTACACCTCCCCGTTCTGTGATGGGGCTGTCACCACTGGTGGCCCCGGGTGCCTGAGACCTTCAGGGCCAGCAGGGGAGGGAGCAATCAGCCTGGCGCCTGGGAACCTTGAGGCTGGTAGGGAGGGGGAGAAGAAATGTTTAGTTTGTCTGCTTGGTTCACCGGGACCTTCAGGGGCTGATAATGAGGGGAAAGAGAACAAATATGTGACCCGCTCGGTCACAGAGGATAGCTACTTGCCTCGTAAAACAGTGTTAGTGACGCCAACCACACTGCCGGGGGTCGGGAGCAGGGGTCAGCAGCCACAAAACAACCCTAGGAATGAACAGTTGGCTTCAGTGTGTACAATTACTTCGATGGAGACTTAAGCAACAGAGAGCTGGGTTTCACAATGGAAAGTTGTTGATGTTGTCAGCATCAATATTGCCCCCCTCCCCTGCCCGGTGCTCCCAGGCTCCCTCTTAATACCAGTGAGAAATTTTAGTAACCATAAAGGTTGTTCTGTGCTGGAGGAGTGACCCACAAGTGATCGAAAGCCACAGTATTAACTGCTAGGATAGGAAAAAGTTACTTGAATTAATGGAAAGATGCATTAAGAAGTAATGGGATACGTATAACAAAGTCACTTAAGGCTGGATATCAAGATTCCAAAGCAGTATGCTACAGGATGATTTTTCCAAGGAATTAATAGGAATTATCTTTTTTTAAAATGTTTACATGTTGACCAAATGAAATGCACGTTCAGTCAGAAGCTTAATGGCAGGAAGATTGTGAAGCACAATATTCCTTTAATTTGGCTTTTCTGAGAAAGCATATGTTTGAGTTCTAGAAACGCTGTATAGTGTAACCTCAAATGGCATTCACACAGCTACTTGAAATAGACCTGCTACTGTTTGCTGTCGTCTTTAAGTAGGACATAGGGCCTCTAAATACCCATGGAAATATAAGTGCAAGGAGCAAAAACTAGGCTTCGATCCAAAGCCAGTTGAAGCTGATTAAGAGACTGCTTTTGGTTACTGAGGGCTCTGGCTTCGGCCACCAGCAAGCTAGAACTGAGTCTCAAGTGCTCAGATAGACTTTTCTGGTTAGCTGAGTCTGGGCGGTTTTCTTTGGATTCATGTTTGAAGTGGTGGTGTCTGGGATGGTAGGAGATGTCTCAGGGTGTATGCCACCTAAAATGTTACATGTTTTTCACTATGGAGTTCTAGAAATACTAAGTGGGTAATACTCAACACCTTAACTACACTTAAATCACCAGATTATGTATTATTCTGGTTTTATGGCTTGACACTATACACTGTAACCACAAGTATATCTAGACATGGTATACTTATTTTTGTAAGATATGCCTGCAGCTACTGTAGAGTAGAGACAAGGACAATATTTTGCGTAGTTTGCAGTTCTTGGGGTAGGTTTAGTGTGCTTCTCCGTTCTTCTCATCCTGTTAGATATTTAAACTTTTCAAGTAGTGAAACAGAAGACAGAAATACGTTTTTCAAGTGGGAAGTGCCTGTAGAGTTGCAAATAGGGATTGAAGTCAGAGGTGATGGTCTGCCTGACTCAGATGATTGTTTTACTTGTTTGCATGCTTATCTTCTGTTTTAGAAATAGAAAAGAGAAATTGTTTGCATTTTATCATAATCTTTTTTAAGTGCAGTCCAAGTTATTTCTTTCATTTTAATTTCACTAATTTTACAGCTTGGCCTGAACTCTTTATAGATGTATGTAGTTATTAGCTACCTGTGTGCTCTGTGTCCACTTTCTTCAAGTTGAGAAGAGTCGAAAAGTCACTTTGGGAGTTAGGTCAATATTTCATTCCAAATGTTGATAGAAATATAGAGCTTGTTCTCTCTTCTGAGCTAGGTTGCCTGTATACTATTCACCAATAAAAATTTCCACCATACAAAAATGATTTTGAAAAACTCTTAACATAGCACTCTATAAAGCATCATGAAAACTGGGTTTTGGCACTTCAGGGTCAAAATGTTTGCATCGGTTTGAAGGAGATAAAGTGGAACATGTCTTAATTAATTTATTTTATATTTGACCTTTAGGTTCCAGCAAGATGTGGAGTAACAGTCCGAGACAGCCTAAAGAAAGCTTTGATGATGAGAGGTCTTATTCCAGAATGCTGCGCTGTTTACAGAATACAAGATGGGTATGATTTGTGTGGTTTTGCTCTTAGAATCTCTTCTTGGAAGTTACCCAGTATGGGCAATTCTGTCCAGTGTTGTAGAAGGTATTTTCGAAGTTCAGAACAATGAGATGTTTTGCACTAAAACAATTTGCATCTTGTTGTCTAAAAAGAATGACAAACTCCTAAAAAATAATGTTATCACTTCACGAACAGGCATAACATCGAGTAATATGGGCTTATAGGCTGCTATGAAAACACTCATTAATCAAGCTTATGCTAACTAAGCAAGTATTGAATAGGTTTTGTTAACTTTTTGGTTTTATTTGACTTGGTTATAGTGTGTTCTTAACTGAGTGTAGAGCTCCTGCAGGAAAAAAAATTGAGTTTCCAGCCCTAAAAAGTTTGTAGATTATATGCACAAATGTAGCCGCCGCTTTGGAGCCGTTATGGAACAGGGACTTTGACAAGCACTTGATTTGATCAGGAAGTTATCTTTCATCTTGAAACCAAGGAACTGGCCACTGCTAGAGTCAACTGAAAAAGCGCATTTCGTTCATGTGGTTTGGCAGGGGAAGGCGTGCGCTTTCCTTGCTATGTGCTGAGCTGCATGTATTGCCTTGAAAGTTTCCTGCAGTTAGAGACCGCGGAGCAAACCCCCAGAGTGCAATTTTCTGCGTTGTCTCCCATCTTCAGCAGAAAACCTGCCAGGGCTTGTGTGCTGCTGCTAATCAAGGACTTATTTACACTTTAGAGAGAAGAAGCCAATTGGCTGGGACACGGACATTTCCTGGCTCACGGGAGAGGAGCTGCACGTGGAAGTCTTGGAGAATGTGCCACTCACAACACACAATTTTGTATGTACCGATGGGGTTTTTTTATGAAATGCTGAGTAGGGTTAAATGGGCTTTATGCTTCCAAATTCAAATTGGCAATTCTGAATAATATTTTGTATCTGTGGGATGTGGTGGGGGTTGCAAAAGAAGTTTTTAATCACAATAGCTTAAGTGAATTAAATAGAATTGTAATTGAAATAAGCTATGTTAGAGTACTTGATTGCCCTTAAAACTTTCGCATTTGGATGGAATACACCCTCTGAGATCTATAAATGTAGGGGCTTTAAATCAGCACTGCATTGCAGAGCTGTAATAACAATCTACTATTTTTGTATTGCTGTATCTATAAAATGTATTCTGGGCCTCCCTGCTGGCTCTGCAGTAGCAATTAACTAATGAACTAACTATTCCCAGAGTGGTGCTGACATCATCAATGATGCTAGTACACAAGTATGTTTTGACCTGATAAGGCACTAAGTAAATGGAGGCCACTAAACAGAATCCATCTAAACGGTTCCAGCTAGAAACAGAATCCTGGGAATTGTTTGTAACGTTGAGAAGGAAGACCTTTTATTTAAATAAACCCCCAAAATTCAGTTTGCAGATGTAGTTTGGCTGTGACTAGTTAGATGAAAGTCTAGTAGGCTTGACACTTTGTTATATTTTGATTATTTCATGTAGTAATACAACTAGAACGTGTGTTTATGCCAAGTATTGCTAAATTTGAAAATGAAACTAAATTTCTCCCACCCTATAATATGGGGATAACATATGTTCACCCTTTTGTGATTTTAAATGTCTCTGAGTTTCGGTAGTCCAAATTACAGCTCTCTGTGTAACCATAATAGAAGCCTGATATGTATAAGCCATATGTGTATTCCCAGTCCTGTGAGCATTGGTTAGAAATGTCATTTGGCTCCTGAAAAAATTAGATGATGAGATAATCTTTCAGCAGCTTTTGTTTTTATAGGATGTATCCAATTAAATTCTGAATGTTTGTCTATGGCATGATAATAATGCACTGTTTTGCTTCAGATTTGTTGCTGTTTTTCTTACTGCTAATCAAGAGAAGCATTAATTCCAATAAATAGTTGAAAGAACATTTTAATACATGAAGACAATTTCAAAAAGGAGACAACCTTTTTTGTAAATCTGTTTGGTATATAAAACTGTAGCCCCAGTATCAAAAAAAAAGAGGCCTTTAGGTGTATTTGACAGAGATAAAAGCAAACAGCCCATCTCAGGCTTAGAGAAGGACTCTAATTACAATTATTTTTGACGGTGTAGGTACGAAAAACATTCTTCACGTTAGCATTCTGCGACTTTTGTCGAAAGCTGCTTTTCCAGGGATTCCGGTGCCAGACATGTGGCTACAAGTTTCACCAGCGCTGTAGTACAGAAGTGCCACTGATGTGTGTTAATTATGACCAACTTGAGTAAGTAATTGCAATTGATTTTAAATTTGAGCCTTTTATTAAACTCACAGCTGTCTTGTGATAAATCTACAATTCAGGAAGTCAGAGGAGGAGCCTGAAAAAAAATACAAGAGTTTAACTGTTCCTGTGAGGCTGCATAATTCATATTTTCTCTGTGATAGCTCCAACAAGCAGTTCATATTTTTGTTGCTGAACTATGAAATGCTTTCTTTGAAGCATGAGTGGGGCGGCTGAGCACTTGACTGTGTCAGACAGACTTCTCATTGTTCATGGTGGTTGTTCTTAAATCAAAACTGCCTCTTTATAACGTGATGGCTGGAGCCCTGTTTAAATGTTTAGATGTGGGTTTAGATGCAGGTTCATTCTCTTCAACCAGAAAAAAATGTCAACAGACACTATTTTACTATGGTAAAATTGCAGTTGGTTTTACAGTGATTGAAAATAAATCTGATGCGTAAGAAACATAAAAGAGAATGTCCCAAACAGTCATGTGTTCTTGAATTTAATTATTGATCTATTTGTGTAGGTCTTTGATGTAGGTTAAGGATCTGGCTTAAACTGGCTGGGTGTTTGATCAGTTTCAGCAGAGGCTAATAAATCTCTTACAGACTTTCATAGAAGGATTCATTTAAAATGCTAGTTTTCCCACCAAGAATAAATTTAATTTCTGCTTGTGTTGATATTTATAACTGTTTCCGTGGGCATCTCCAGAGTTTGTGCTTGGGGCTTATGGATAACATAGTTCTATCCATTTGACATTTGTTTTTTGGCATGGCATCAGTGCAAACACTAAGTTTGTGTACTCAACATATAAGTTTTGCGTTCTTGAGGAACCAGATGTTTGCCATTTCAACTGAAAGATTAAGAAATTACTTTTTGCAAAGGTGTGTTTAGGGCATGATGTTTTGATCCTTTTTCAAGTAAATATAATATTATTTTTAACAAATCTTGCAGATTGATGTTTTAATGCAGTCTTATTTTTAAATTTATAATTTTCATCAGTGAGAGATGTTGGGTTTGTTTTGTTTGTTTGTTTGGAGTTTTTTCAATCTTTGTTATGTTGTGAAACTGCTGGGTTTTGCACGAGTTAGGTTGGTTCTGTTTTGTTCTTGCCTCACAGTTTGCTGTTTGTCTCCAAGTTCTTTGAACATCACCCCATACCACAGGAGGAGGCCTCCTTAGGAGAGACCACCCCAGCATCTGGATCGTACCCCTCAGCGCCCCCCTCAGATTCTGTTGGGTATGACCTTATTC